TTTTGATTTTAGCATATCTTCCCGGACGAGGGGAGGATTGTCCAGGACGATTTGCTTAATCGGACCGACTTAACATGGCTGCCCTAATTATGGTTTCTATTTTCAATGGATTGTCCAGGATGATATTTCTATTGTTCTGGATGATATGATCAAAACAAAACAGAAACTCTAATTCACTAAAAATCTCCCCCTGTGTGTATGTGTGTAAGGTTACTTAGCTTGGGGATCCATTACATTACATTTCACTCAAGAAAGGGAAAAATACATTTTAGCAAACACACTCAATCTTGAGCTGGCTTGAATTGCACTTGATCTTGTGAACCTGAAAGGTTAGGCAATCAAACGGAAATGTTTGTTTTCATCAAAATAATAATCCTTGAATCTAGATTTGCAACATGTATGGATTTTAATACGGTTAGGTAGCGGCAATCCTAACATATACTGGATTATAAGCCCGATTGAGTGGCTCTGGTTGTGCATAACTGGGCTATCTTATTTACTTTTTTATGGTGACAATTCCTTGTTCCACTAGAGTTTGAAATCCATCATTTGACCAAATTTACCTTTTAGAATTCATCTGTCTAGGAAATTTGAATTTTCCTCTATTGGTTTGAAATCATGAGGCGCATTTTGGATGTTGTTATTTATGGTTGTTGGCATAATTTCTCTCATGGTTAAGTTGGGTGAATTGTTTTCTCAACTAAATGATTTCAAGTTAGATAGCCTGGAGATGATGGATCTATCAATATCCAACCAAGGCTATTTCTACCATTTATCGGATTTCTTATTCCCTACCAACTATCCCTTTTTTTGAGCCCATCATAGTCCTTGTTGAGTCTTTGATGATTCAACAACTTTAATTATATAAATCTTTTATGTAAAAAAATGATCATCTTTCTTTGTCCTGGTGGTTCACCCTCTGCCCTGCAGATTGATCCATCTTTAAGCATAAACTATGCTATCAAGTCAATAGTTTTTTGAATCATAATCTTTCCTTTGATAATTAACCTTAACAATTAGGATAAATGTATGTTTCATATATCGAGAGTTACTCTTAGAGGTATTCTTGAGTTTAATTAGCCTTAGGCAGCCTAGTCCTTTTAGGAGATGGAGTAACCTACACTTTCTTGATTTAATTTTGAGTTGATATGACTTATCGTAAATATTGTAACATAGGTTTAGATATGATATATATAGCTTGTCACTCTGAGCTCCTATTCTTATCTCTTCTTATTAAATCTTATACATGAGAGGCACACCTTTATATCATTATCCTTTTCCCCACCAACACCTAACTGAAGGATCTTTACTAGCAGCTATGGGTTTGCGTTATATAAGGAGATCTTGTAGACTTAGGATGGATATTTGTCTACAACAACAACATCAAGCCTTTGTCCCACTATGTGGGGTCGGCTACATGAATCCTTTTTCTCGATTGAGTCCTGTTATAAGTCAAATTCTCATTTAAATCTAATAAAGAAAGATCATTTTTAATATTTTCTAACCAAGTCCTTTTAGGTCTACCTCTACCTTTCTTAACATAAGTCAAATCTAATATCTCTACTTTCCTAACTTGGTCATCGGAAGGCCGTCGTTTTATGTGACCAAACCATCTAAGGAGACTCTCTCTAATCTTATCTTCCACTAGAGCTACTCCAACCTTTTCACGTTTATGCTCATTTCGTATCCTATTTCTAAGGGTAATGCCACTCATCCACCTGAGCATCCTCATCTCTGCAACACTTAACTTATTATTATGCTTCTCTTTTAATGGCTAACATTCGGCACCATAAAGCATTGCACGTCTCACCACAATCTTTTAGAATTTTTCCTTAAGTTTGAGGGGGACTTTTCTATCACACAACAAGCCCGATGCATTCCTCCACTTCAACCATCCAACTTGAATTCTGCTGATAATATCCAAATCTATTTCACTATCACTCTGAACAATAGATCCAAGATATCTAAAATATGTACTCTTATTAATGACTCCCCCAAAGTCACAATCTTCTTACTAGGTCTATTACTACTAAAATTATACTCTAAATATTCCATTTTAGACCTACCCGGCATGAATCCAAATTGGTTTTGAGAAACATCAGTATCACGCCACAATCTACGCTCCGCTCCATAACTCACTTACATAGTTTTAAAGTATGACACATTAACTTAATTCCTCTATAATTCGCACAATCTTGTGCATCACCTTTATTCTTAAAAATAAGAATTAACACACTCATTCTCCACTCACCAGACATCTTTTTAGTCTTCAAAATAGTATTAAAAAGTTTAGTAAGCGAAAAAATTCCTTCATCTCCTAAGTATTTCCACACATCTATTGGAATATCATCAGATCAAACAACTTTTCCACCCTTCATTTTCTTTAAAACCTCTCTAACTTCGATTTTACTAATACACCAATAAAAATAAAAATCTTTATTTTCATTTAGGATGATAAGGTCACTAAATTCAATCGTATTTTTACATTGTTCATTAAAAAGTTTAGCAAAATATCTCATCCACCTTTGTTGAATATCATCTTCTAAAAAAAGTTTTTTTTGATCTTTATCCTTAATACATTTTACTTGAACTAAATCCTTCTATTTCTATCTCTTTGTTTGGCTAACTTATACATATATCTTTCTCCCTCCTTAGTATCTAATCTATTATATAAATCATTAAAAGCTAAGATCTTTGCATCGTATAGTGCTTTCTTAGATTCCTTACGTGCCTCTTTATATTTATCCCAATTATCAGAATTTTTACATTTAAACCAATTTTTATAACAAATCTTCTTATTTTTTATCTTTTCTTGCACATTTGGATTCCCCCACCAACTATTTTTATTGTTAGGAGCTTTACCCTTTAATAATCTAAGCACATCTTTTGTAATATTCTTAATATTACTAGCCACTTTTTCTCACATAACATTAGCATCCTCATGCACAGACAAAATCTTAAGATCTAAAATTTTACTCTCAAAAATATTTTTGTTAATATTCTTTAAATGCATCCATCTAATCCTAGAATATCGTTTTACTTTATTTTTTATTTTCTGCCCCTTTATCTTAAAGTCCAAAACTAATAATCAATGTTGGGTAGATAAATTTTCATTCGGAATAACTTTACAATCTTTGCAATCTAAACGATCTAATTTTCTTATAAGAAAAAAATCAATCTGAGTTTTACTATATCCATTTTTATAAGTGATGAGATGCTCATCTCTTTTCTTAAATAAGATATTAGCAATTAAAAAATCGTAAGCTAAAGAAAAATTTAATATGGTCTTACCACCTTCATTTGTCGTTTCAAACCCATGGAAACCATAAATACTTTTAAAATCATCTACCTCTTTACCAACATGTCTATTTAAATCTCCTCCAATAAAAACTCTTTTTTTCAAGAGATATCTTTTGTATTAATTTTTCTAAGTCATTTCAAAATTTTAATTTTGAACCCATATTCAAACCTACTTGAGGGGCATAAGCACTTATAATATTAACAATCTTAGCATCAATAACAATCTTTAAAGCTATAATTCTATCTCTAATTCAATTAATTTTTATAACATTATCCTTCAAACTGTTATCTATAATTCACACATACACTATTTCTAGTACGACTCCTACCTGAATACCATAGTTTAAATCCTAAACTATCAATCTCCATAGCCTTCTCTCCAACCTATTTAGTTTCTTGAATGCACAGAATAAGAATCATAATATCTATTAATTCCATTAATTTTCTTGTAAGGGAACCTATATTCCAAGTTTCTATCTTAATTTTAGTTTCATGGACTAGCTTCTTTGCCCATATCCTTCGTTGATGTGGGACCCTTGCCTATTTAACACTGCACCCGGGCGCCAGTGCAACGGCCCTTGCTCACTTGTCGTTGTATTTAGGCCATACAGTGCGTCGCTTCCAGCGGACGCTCTAGCATTAACACAATTTTTTTAAGGATTCATGTCATGATTATTCGACAAGTTTTACGCTGGCTGTCGACTACCTAACGCAACCCTCCACTTTTCTCATCCAGGACTTGAGACCTGGCAACGGCAGTGTCAGGTTGGATGTTTGTCTAAAAAGATATTTTTAGGCTGACTTTAGCTTTAAAAGGGATTCATGCCCCTCACAAGTGCACTCCTCAATTAACCACTTAGGAGATTTGAGCCATTATAAACATTTGGGTTTTGGTTATGACTGTAATTTAATAATGTCATGTTGCAGCAAATCACTTGGTCAAAGGGCTCGAGACATAATCGTATTTTTGTAGTGTAATTTTGTGGGAAAATCACTTGGTTGAAAGACGTGCCATATCCTTATTAGCGTCGAATCCTTAGAGTGACCATAAAGGTACATTTGATATGACATTGATGCTTTGTAAGCTTAGGTTATCTTAAATTTGCCACCATTGACAAACTATTGCCGATAATGGATGGATTTTATCAAGATTTGAATCCAAAATATTTTTCTTTTGAAATTTGGGGGCATTTTGTTAATATGATCCCCTCTAGTTGAGATTTTTTTGTGAACATGGCATTCACCGGAGTATTTAAATGTTTTCATTTTGTTTGTTTGAAACTTTGTTAACTCTGCTCGTTTGCTGGTAAATGATTGGTTCATGTCTTATGTGTCATTTGAATTCATGTAAGTATTTGTTGCATTATAGGCCTTGCCAACTCTACCCTCAATGTAGAGGATAGGGTTAGTAGCTTTGATCTCATAATTGTACCTTGTAGGCATAGCATCGAGAATTTGTATTTTTGAAATGAGTTTTCTGTGTTAAAGGAATTGAAGGCCTTACGTATATATAACAAAATGATTTAACTAGGTTCACAATTGAGCATTTGACTCCTAATGCATAATGATGTGAGGTTTGGCGCTTCTCGGAGCAGGTTAACTTTGTATATTCTGGCAATTGAACTTTTCATGTTATTTATCTTTTGATTTCACTTATTAGGCATTTCTTATTTCCTTCATATTTTTAATATCTGATGCAGGGGTTGCTTGCCAGAAATATAACCCCAAATATATTCTTCTTCAACAGTCTCATGAATGTGAACTCCCATGATTTGAGCTACACCTTGAACGTTTACAACCATATGCAAGTACTGCCTTCTTCTTATGTTTGTTACGTCCTCTTAATGAATGAACATTGTCATTGTATGAGAGTTTGAGGTCTGAATAAGTCAGATTCTGAACCCTAAAACTTCAAGTTTCCACAAAAATTCTCAAGTGGGATTCTGCTGAGAGAAGACAAACTTAGTTCTGTTATCTTTACCTATTATGGCTTTTCACATAAAAATGGGCTAACTAATTTTGCAGTATGCATCCAGATCTTGGGTGTGACAGCTGATATGACGTCATATAACATACTTTTGAAGGCATGCCAGAATGCCAAAAGAGTTGATTTAGCACAGAAGATCTATGATGAAGCAAAGCAAGTAGCATCAGATGGAGCCTTCAAGTTGGACATCATTACATATAGTACCATGATGAAGGTTTGAATCAATGTGGAATCCTTCAGTTCAGTACTTCAGTTGTATATCCAATAATCTCTTGTTTTTTTTCCATTACTTCTTCAGCTGCATTTTGTCCTTTAGCCCACTCTAATTGTTAGTTGAGCTTATATTTTGTGATTCCTTCTATTTTTCAGGTGTTTGCTGATGCAAAAATGTTGGAAAGGGCTTTTAAAATTAAAGACGAGATTATTATAGCTGGTATACGGGCAAATGTAGTTACTTGGTCAACATTGATTAGTGCATGTGCGAGTGCTACTCTGGTTGATGAGGCCATTAAGATATTTGAGGAAATGCTTATGGCTGGTTGTGAACCAAATGCGTATTGTTTCAACAGTCTTCTTTATGCTTGTGTTGAATCATGCCAGTATGATCGAGCTTTTCGATTTTTCTATGCCTGGAAAGAGACCGGATTTGAAGTTGTCAATTTTGACCAAGGCACTAAACAAGGTCTACCTATCGATCCTTGTCCAATTTTGAATCCATCTATATGCTATTTCTATAACAAGCAACATTTGATTGGTTGCAGTGATTCCCTTCAAACCAACTGTTGCTACTTTTAATATTTTAATGAAAGCCTGTGGAACTGATCACTTCCGTGCAAAAGCTTTAATCAAGGAAATGAAAACGATGGGCCTATCTCCTAACCACATAAGCTGGTCTGTTCTGATTGATATTTATGGAAACGCTTATGATATGAAAGGAGTAATGCAGGTTGTGTTTTATTCTTGTAAAAGTTTGTTTGCAAATTTTCTGTTGTACTTGCTCTGTGCTGCTGCCTTGATGCTTATCATGGGAACATTACTGCCACCTCTTATCCCTGCATTTTTTTTTTATAAATATGGGTTTATATGTATTTGATTATACGCTCTTTCGAATGTCTTATTGTTGAACTTCTCTTTATGCTCGTTGAAGTGACTATAGCTTTCCATTTTTTTTCATAATAAAAAGAAAATGCAAAGAAAATAATGTAAACCCAGATGCTTGATTGTCAATTAAGTTTTCCTTGCCTGTAGAGTTGTGCTATCGAGCTGCACCATGAGCTTGTGTAAAAGAATCTGGTAAATTTTTTTGTCAGTATCTTCTTTTTTTTTGTTTTCTGTTTTCTCCTGTCTTGTGAAGTGTCTCAATTTTGCAGGACACCGCACCCCCTCAACACACAAATGTTTATAAAGAAATTTTTGATACATCACATTTCATGACAAGAAATCCCACCTAGACAGTCGAAATGAAAAAAAAAGCAAATAAATAATGGAGAGAATTGTGATAAGTGTGAATACTGCTGCTTTTGAGACGACAATATATATATGAATATGGGATAGTAACACAAATATCAAATGACCTTCGTTGTCATTTTCCTTGATTATAGTTTATTATCAAATCAGCACTGTTTTTCTTCAAGCAATTTTTTTTCCTTTAGATTATTGCTTGTACGCCTTTACATGACTTTAACCCATCCGCAGACCATTTTATTATTAGTAGCTTTATGCACTGGTTGTATCCTATATTTAATCTGTAGCCTCAGAATTCTCTCATTGTGTATGCAATAATAGGCCCATATTGACATCATGTTTAAACCTTATATATCCTTCAGGACATTATATGAAAACTTGTGACAACTAAATTTGGTCTAGCGGATCTAGCATCAATTTCTAGTGTCAGCATACTAGGCTTACATTATGTGAGAACAAAAAATTTACCCTCGGAACTTCCAACGAGAGAATTTGTGGTTCCAGGTGAAATTATTAAAAGATATATTAGAATACAGATAAAAAATTACCTATAAATTTTGCCTTCATATTTCACGACTTTATGATCTAGTTGTAAATTTCCCATAAATACAAGCCCTTTTGGTTGATTACTCATCTTGACGATGAGAGATAACTTTTGACTAAGACTAGTCATTAGATACTTAGCATTTAGCTTATAGTAGTAGCTACTTGATGCCTTTAGCTTAGCGGATGATAGGGGGAATATTGACAAACCCGATCAATATCCTAGGATTCCATCATCTCAAGTGGTTGTGGACCATGGTCTACTTAATTAGTGGAGGTAGTTGATTGAACTTGACTGAAAGATTCTTGTCATTAATCATATGTTGCTTCGTCCAACAGAATCATATAGACTTGGCGTCTAAGGAGATAAATTTAAATCTCTTAGCTAACAGAGAGTTTTGTGCCCTATCAAGTACACCTTATGATTCACAACTTAAGAGGAATTGGATCCATTGGAGAACAACTGGACTATGACCATGATTGTAACATAATAGTGTCGTTTCCATGTGAGACTATATGATTAGAGTGCCCCGGTACCCTGTTCATAACCTTATTTTAGTGGTATCATTTGATGGAAAAATCACTCAATTAGAGGAATATGTCACGTCATTACTGGTATGAGATCTTTTGAAATTAAATATAATGATATGCTTGACAAAATATTAGCTCTTTGTGAGTAGAGATTAATCTTAAATCTACAACCCTATCAAACTATTGCATAGAATTGATGAGTTATTATTTTAAGTTTAGGCAATATATTTCATTTTATTATATTTTATGTTTTATGTTTTCATTTTGGATTTTTAATTTTTTAAAATTTGGGCCCCACAATAGTTTGCATTGAAATTTGGGGGTGTTTTGATATTAGAAATCCAAGTTTAATTTATAAATAGAAGCTTTCCTTAGTTTATTTTATTCCAAGTTCAATTTATGAAGTGTGTTCCTAAGGGCTCCAAGAACTTATGAGAGTTTTAATTATAATTAGGAAGTTTGACATGTAAAGTATGAATTTCATAAAATTTAAAGTTTATAAAAATTGAACTCCATAATAGATGTCTAACACCAAATCTAAAATGACAAATTTTTTGTTTTATATTTGTATTAGGCCTTCAATGCCTCTTATGAAGAAAATTCACTTTAAAATGTAAACACTGAAAATCACCCTGATTATATGGCACCTCGTAAAGTTAATCCAAGCATCCAGTTTTCTCAATCTAACGAGAATCTATTTTTTAAAACATTCCAAATTTCAAAGCTAATCATTCTAGGCTTAAATTTTAATAAAAGTTAAAAAAATTAATATTTGCAAATTTTAAAATGTTTCAAATGAAATCTACCACTTAAGGCATAAACCAAAATATAATCACCCTTGGCAGCCATTTGTCGAGGATAACAAATTTAAGAATAAATTTAGCTCATAAAGAGCCATTATCTTATCAAGTGTATCACTATGTTCACTCGCAAATGATCTTCCATGAATAAGGATATGGTGCGTGCCCTATAATCCATGATTTTGCTATCAATTTGCACAATAGGTAAACGATTATTATCAGAGGCCTCTAATCAAGTGATTTAACTGCAAAATCTCCATTAAATTAAGGCCATGACCCTAGCCTATAAATTTTCCAATGTCTTAAAAACCTTCGAAGTAGAGAATCATTGAATGTACTTGATAAGGTACAAAACCTTCTCTTTGCTAAAGTCAATTTTAATTTGTCCCCTTAGATAAACATCCATTCTATGTCTATTAAATCTTACTGGACGACACAACCTATGGCTACCGACAATAATCTTTCCGTCATGCTGGGTTGACTACTTCTGTTGACTAAGTGTTGACAAAATCTTAAAAAAAAAAAAAAAAGAGAGAAGAAAGGAAAATAACAAAAAAAAAAATCAAATTGAAGAGATACATCTTTTCATGAAGAAACCAACCTACTATAGATTCAGTCCCACCTCGCCAAATGACGCAATGTTTCATTCTTTTACTCCCCTTTCGACATATCAGTCTATAAAAGAACAGAAAATCGAATAAGGAAGGCACGCTCAATTCAATCATTTTAAAAGCCTCTAGTGCTACTACCTTCTACTTACTTCCGTTTGACTGAACCAGTTCACGTGAAAATATCCTTCACGATGCCACTCAAGTCTCCATCGTATGGGATCAAACTCGCGTCCGACGCGCTCATGTCAGAATCGAGTTTGACTACCAGGATGATCCGTCTGTTCACTCATAGAACCGACCTGCACAAACGCCTCTGCCTCCACTCTTTCGTCCGAATCGAGCCTGCAGCCGTCTGATCAAGCCTGAACGAACACCCACGCCTTCCATCTGAAGCCCCAATCCCCTAGAAGCCTTTCGCATGAATCGTGCCAACCAAACCCTCCTCTTCCATTTCGCGTGAACCCTCACCATACCCGTCGAAGCCAAATCAATCGCTCGCAATTCTTGTGTTAGTACTTCCGTCACTTGCACTTCTGCCTCCTTCGACTTCCCGCGATTAATTTCTGCTTCAGATCATTCGCTTCCCAAACACGTGTCCTTGCCTATTTTGCATGAATCTCGCCAGATCCACTAATCCGCCTTTGACTACTATGCCAAGAACTTGTATGCCTTTTGCTTTATTCTGAACTTTGGTCATAAGTTCTTTTCATTCGGATATGCAGATTAAGGAAATAATCATGCTTTATTTGCATAACTAACAACCGCAACTGTCATTTTAAATAATTAAAATATAAAGTTCTGTAAAATTAAATGTCGCAGCAAACAAGCTTTTGATTTTAGAAGACTTAAGCCATCGATCTTAGATTTGGCTAGGAAAAGAGTAAATTAGAGGCCTCGCGCCATCGACCTTAAGTCTGGCCAGGATGGTTTTAAAATGAAGACCTCGTGTTGTATATTTTAAATCCGGTCGGGATGGCTTTAAAATGAAGACCTCGCGTCATCAATCTTAGGTCCGGCGTGGAAGAAATTATTAGCAAGTGCCGGCCTGACCTCCCGGCGAGGGGAGGGGACGCCGCGAGGTTGCCGAACTTGCCTTAGAAATTATTCAATTTGAGAGCAATTAAAATTGAATTTTAATTGATAAGTCAACCAATTAAATTTAATGAATTAATGAAAATTAATTAACTAAAACAAGATTAATTAATGAAAAATAGTTGGTTAATTAATTAAAATTAAATTGGTTAATTAAAATCAATTAATTAATTCTAAATACTTAATTGAAATTAATTAATTTATGTAATTAATTAATCAAAAATTATTGATTAGTTGAAATTAATTAAGTGCAATTAATTACTTAATTGAAATTAATTAATTAATTGATATTAATTAAAATTTATTGGTTGGTTAACTTAAAATTTTGAGAGCAAATTTAAAATTCAAGAGCGATAGAATTTAAAATAATTAATTAGTTAATTAAATTTTAATTAATTAAATTGATCAATTAATTTTTTAATGTGAAGAGAGTCACTTTGATAAGTGAAAATTTTTGTTTAAATAATATATAAAAAAGAGCAGTAATGTTTCCACTAATTTATATATACAAAATTCTCCAACTCTCAAACACCAAGATAAAAACAACTGCTCTCCAAACTCTTCAACTCAAACACAAAACTCACAAACTCTCAAGCACTCTGCTCTCTAAACTCTGAAATAACGCGAGTTCCTGCAACAAGCAAATAAAATTTATTAGCATCAAAATTAAATTAATATAAAAATAAATGCTAAAGCAGGAAAAAGAACAAGTGTTATGCTAAGCTACAAACAGAAAGTAAAGAAGACTATTAGTAAAGTAACTACTGATACAATCTACGACACTGAAAAGAAAAAGAACAAACTACTAAAATCACACAACAACTACTGGCTAATAAGTGGCGAGCTAGTAAACAAGTAAAAACTACATTCTAATATCATGCTAACAAACAACTGTTGTCTACTCAAATAAACAAATAAAACTAATGGGCATCTCTAAAAGATTAGGTTGTAAGACCCACTTTTAGGCAATTTTCAAAGGGCAGCCGTAAGACTTACCCAAATAAATAAATCCTTAGGCAGTCTTGCTATAAAGCTAGGTTGCAAGACCCATCTTTGGGCAACTCAGAAGTAGAGCCGTAAGTCACATTCTAAATTAAACCTACAGACAACTTCTAATGGAGTGGTAAGATCTATTAACCAAATCCAAAATTAACGGGCAGCTTAGCCTATAGGACTAGGTTGTAAGACCCACCAGTGGGCTACTTCTAATAGAAGCTGTAAGACCCTCTTTTTGGGCTACTTTCAATGAAAGTCGTATGTCCCGACTCAAATTCAAACACCCGGGCTATTCCAAGAGATGACGTAAGACCCGTTTCAATTCAAACTTCTAGGTAACTTCTAAATGAAGTCATAAACCACAAACCAAACCAACTACTGGGTATTTTAATAGAAGTAAACTCCCAAAATTCAATAAAAATAAAATCCACTTATAACCACTTCAGTCTAATCGTGATCCCTAAGAGGAGGCAACTCATGACTGCTAATCAGATTCTGTGGACACTACAGTCAATAATTGTAAGTGTTGGTAGACTTAAATCTAAGGTATGCCCGAGACGACGTAACCATGGGATCTTGATCGAGTTTACCTCCATTTTCCCCCACAATTTAGACTAAAATACTTAAAATTTATTAATCCTTAATCAAGAGTTCTCTCTTAAGTGTTAAGAGGGGTAAACTATGAGTGCTTGCGCTCATGGGAAGTAAGGACCCAGATCTAACTAAACCCTGACACTATCCTCAGGGAAAATCTGGTTAACTACAATCTGACTTAAGGAGAATGGAATCCTATGTCTGCAAAGCGGGGTTCATCCCTTCGTGCCGGTTTTCTTGAGCCAACACTAAGTACACTATAGATCCGGGATAATCTGGGATGATAGAATTATGAAATTTTTACTGAGATCGTCATCTTTCCCTCACCATTTGCTAGAAGTTTAAGGTAATAAATTTTTTAATCCTAAACCATATTTGTTGTTATTATATGGTAAGGGTAATTAACCAATGGGGCTTGTGCCTATGAGAAACTTGAAATCAAAACTTAAATTCCTCATAAATGAGTGTCAAATCTCTAGATAGTATTTTATTTGCCACCTAATTTACCTTCTAAAAGTTTTAGTCAGAGCACTAAACTCTTTTAGGAAAGCTCATGCGAGATGTGGGCCCACATCTCAGATTTTTGTAGATAGATCAGGCATCATGGAGCCTCTGTTCATGATAACGAGGTTTAGATCTAGGCAAAAGGGGTAGGGCAAGGAATTATTCTTCTCAGGATGTTATAAAACTCATCTTGCTTGTTGGATGCAAGGCTCATCACTCTTTTTATTTGAGGAGGTGTATTTGTTTTCTGCCTGGATGTTTGATTTGGCTCTTGTTTATCTTGTGGACCGTTTTGATTTTAGTCAGGAGGCAACGTATGTTTGAGATATAGTTTATCATTGTCACTCTAGTCTGACATGTCATGATTTGAGCATTCATCGATAAGAAATTTCCATGATCTCCCATTGATTGAACTGAGGAGAAGATGTGCTTAGAATAGGCGAGATTCTGATTATTTTTTTAAGCCTTTTCTTTTGTACTTTTGTAATTTGAATTTGGCTTTCTGGGTTGTAGAGTAAAGATATTTGCTGCATGTCAAACAACCACGAGCTATTATTTTTTGCTGTTTTAAGAACTATCCTCATATATACGCTAAATGGTTTTTTTAGCATGTGCATGGTGTACTAACATGAACCTGACAAAAACAAATAGGGTTTATATATTTCATGCTAGCGATCCCAGATAATTTACCATCTAAAATAGAATGCTGTGCCACAGTTCATGACGTGTTAAAATTTTTCTGTTCTTCATGTGCTGCAGGCACTAAAAGCCATGAGAGATACTGGGATTAAGCTTGATGTTGTTGCATATACAGTTGCCATAAAGGTTTGCCATTCTGCCTGCTGAAGTCTGATGTCTTTCATGATTATGGGCATGCCTTCTTTAGCATTGTGTACTTTGAAGTAAAATCGTATCTGGTTTAGTTTTCTAGATGGATGATGGGAATTAACTGTTAACTCTACTGTTAGGCAACGTAGGTTTTATACTAGGTAATGGAGTAATGAAGCAATGACTGTATCAGATATCGAATAATTCTCAAATTTACTCCCTTTCTTTTTATTATACGCCATTTTTTCATATTTATTTTCAGTAGCAATTTTCTTAAACATGCAAAAGTTTAATGTTCTAGAATCTATATTTAATTTTATGAATATAGTTTTCCAGGTTGCTTGAATTTTTTCCCAGTGGCTTCTCTATGCATGAAACTCAAGGAAATATCTCATGTCTCATAGAATAATTAATGAGAAAAAACTCAAAATAGTCCCCTGACAATTGATAAATGCTCAAATTATTCCCAGAGCTTGGTATTACCCCCATTTGGTCCTCTACTATTAAAAATTGTCCAATTTGGTACCGGCATTAGTTTTGTCATCTGAATTAATGGGAAAAGCCAAAGATCTTTGCTTCTTTGTGGGCAATTTTGTAAAATAACTTATTATCAGCTTGCTCGCCTTCATGCTATAATCCCTAGAGAACAAATTGTGTGAGGCAGAAGTTGGACATTTGGTGTGAGAGTGTCATCCTTTGTCTTGATTTTGGTTCGTCCTACCTAAACCAATTAACACTTCGCCGTCCTCTGCATTGGCAACTAATGAGAGGAGAGTTTCTGTAATATCCCAATCCCATCCCATGAAGGTGAACAAGACGATGACGAAGGAGACTTCAATTAGATTCATGGAAGTTGAACGAGGGTTGATTTTGTCATTTTAGGTTATGTCGAAGAAGACGAAGCTAATCGGTGTTGTTTCCTGTTGTTTGGAGTCTCGAAACGAACAAGCGAGCCATTTCGTTCACGTGAAGGTGAAGAAGACGAAGTGGAAGCTTCGTTTCAAGCAAAGGGTTTCGTACCTATACAAAAGGCCGAGCGATATCAAAGAATGAGTGGGAGTTGAGGGAGACCGGGAGGGAAACAGATAATGAGAGAAGAGGGAAATCGGAGAGCGACTGAGCTTGAGCAGGGAGTGTGGGCTAGGGCTTCGACTACTAGGAGAAGGTAAGATTATTTTTAGGGGATAAAAACGTATTTTGTAATTAGTTAATAAAAACAATTTAATTAGAGAAAATAAAAAATATTTTATTATGATTTTTCATTAAATTTATAAAAAGAGAGAAAAAAGAGAATGCTTAATAATAAGTTGATAAAATTTTAAAATAAACCTAATATTTAATCTAATACCTAATAATTAATTATTTTAATTTTTTTATTTATGGATTTTTTTAAAAGAATAAATTAGTAAATGCTGTTAAGAAAATTTAATCTAAAATTTTGTATTTTGAAAATGATTATATTAAGGGATTTTTACATACATAACATCTAAAACTATTCAATTTACATATCTAATACCTAAACTATAATATTTACTTATCTACCACCTAAATACCATTCTCTTCATCTAAAATAACACTTCGTTACCTCCCCTTAAAACTCGTGTCTCCCTTCGCTCGAGCAGGTCTTCTTGTGCTTCCACTCCCACGTTCTTTAGGTTTGCATTTTCATTTTCTCCATTTCTTCATTGTCGAGGCCTAAGTGCTTCGGACAGAGTCGCTCGCTCCAAGCTTCTCCGACTTAGACGACGATGTTGTTGCTGTCGAATTGAAAGCGATCTTGCCGGCAAGGTAACAAAATTTCTCTATTTTTTCATGCTTCTTCACCTAAATCCGCTAAGAAAGTCGAAATATTTGTCTGTATCATTGTTATTGCTAGGGTATGTAAATGTGCAGCTAAATCCGCTAACAGTTAATTCAAGCTCCAGCTCATCCAAAAGCAAGAACACTTGGAAGTATATTTTGGCAGGAACAACCCTCCAAATATTTGTAGTATTTTGTCTGTTGCTGTGTTTTTGTTGGTGCAGAAGCCATTCATCTGATCAGAGGGAGGTGATTTCGCATGCTGCTTCATCTGCACCTGAAGGAGGCAACAGATCACTTCCTTCAGTTGGTGTCAACTTGAACCGGAACCGGCGGCAGAGCTCCGGCGACGAAGGCAATAGGTCAATCTCGACGTCCTCTACCAGCATCTCCCCAGCGGTGGGACTGATAATAACTTCCCGTAACTTCCCGTCGCCTCTGGTTGGGAATGATAATATGATCGCGGCAAGGAGGATGAGGCGGGAGATGTATGTTTAGAAGATGACTAAAAAAGGAGGAGCTGGAAGTGGCCGGCGGCGGTGGAAAACCCAATCGTCTTCGCGATGGTGAGGGACAAGGACGACGGCGATTGCTGGTGGAGAAGGATTTGTGGGCTCCAAAAATTGGGCCCTGACCTTCGCCTGCTTTTTGCTTTCTTCGAGGGGAGTTTTGACGGATTAAGATCCTGGGTAAATTTTGGAAGGCAGATGAGATTGTAGATAAGACACTACCCAGAGATTTCGTCCTCATTTTGCTAGGACTTTATGGTCTGAGTTCTGGTTTCCTATAGGCGCAGGCCTCTATAGTTAATTACCCCTCCCGGTCACGAGAGAGAACTTTCGATTAAGGCTAGTCGTCAATCAGATACGTAGAGATGCAAAGTATCTGGCATATAGTAGCAGCATGGGTTTGGGTATTTAAAAATTGGAGATTGAAAAGGGTTAATATTTAAAATTGAAAATTTCACCATCTTGCACTTAAAGCGGATGGTGGGGGAATGGATGATGGACCCGATCAAGATCCCATGGTTTCGTCAACCCAGGCCATCGTTGTCCCTGGTCTACTTAGTCAGAGGAGTTAGTCAACCCAACCTGACAGAAGGATCCTTGTCGGCAGCCATGAGTTGCTTCGTCCAAGGGTACCTTGTAGACCTGAGGGCATTTTTACCTAAGGGGACAAATTTGAATTCACCTTAGCTAACAGAGGGCTTTGCGCCCTATCGATTATACCCTATTGATTCATATCTCAAGGATTTGATGCCATTGGAGAGCATATGGGCTCTGGCCATAACCGTAATATAATGGTGCCATTTGGCGGCTAACCACCCGGTTCAGAGGGCCCCGAGTCATTACCATTTATCCTGCGGTGCCATTTGGCGGCAAAATCGCCAGTTATAGGAAACGTACCATGTCCCTGCTTGCAGGAGATTGTTTGAGAATGGATCCTAGTGATATTTTCGGCTAGGCATTAGCTCTATGTGAGCTTAAGTTATTTTCAGATTTGTCCACCTTGGTAAATTGTTGCAGTGGGTGGATGGATTTTGTTTTAAGTGTTTGGTGGATTGTTTCAATTTTGAATATCTTGGAATTTTAGGATTGTTTTGTGTTTTGGATTTTGTTGGAGTTTGGGAAGCATTTTGGAATATTTGGAATTGACCCCTCCGGTTCAGATCCACATTCAACACGGCCATCATCGGGGTGTTTGCGGTCATTTGAAAATATTTATGGGTTGAACCTTGTCGACTCTATCGGGTTGTCGACAGAGGATCGGGTTTCATAGGCTTTATGCCTTTGTGAGTGAATTTTCTTGGTTGAAGGCCTTGAAGGCCTAATATGAATGTATAAAATAAATATTCCGGTCAACCTCACGACCGCCTATTTATTTGATAGTTCGAGCCATGTCAACTCCTATCCATTCGTATAGAAGGATCGGGCTTGAACTTGAATTCACTTGTTATTCCGCGCAGCATCCCCAGACGTCACGTGTGTAGCAATAACATGCTCGCCGGGGCCTATGCGGGTTTAGATTGAATATCCCTCCCTTTTGTGTTCATATGTGTATACAAATTAAGGTGCACGCGCGTGGGGGGGGGGTATTTTTAGAATATTTATAAACGTCTTCTGTCCGCTTGCATAGAAGTTGCGGATCCGGTGGCGTGGCATTGAAGCTTGTGGACGCCTTCTGTATGCTTGTACGAGTGTTGCAGATCCGATGGCGTTGTGTTGTAATTATTTGCTCGTAGATACTTGCATTCACTACAAGTCTCTATGCATTTCACTATGGCGTTGTGTTTCTTTCAGTCCTCCTTTTACTTGCAAACAAGTTATATTTAGATGCTCTTTATTTTCAAATGTGATTTGCAATAAGTATGATGAATTTGATACTATCATCATCAAATTCCAACCGACATGACTCTTACAAGCCAAGTAACATTGTCCAAAAGTTCCATGCCAGGGTTCATAATCAAATCATGCAGGAATCCTTGTTTGCTTGTGTGACATTGATTTGAATGCATTTAAATTATCAAAGTGGTTACTTATTTGAAGATCTTTGCATGACTGCTTGTGAGAGAGCCATAAGTTTTTCAATCGATCCTTATCTGAACAATTATGATTGTCACTTAGCACTTGTATATTCATTAGAATGATCTAAGCCTTTGGTTAACATTTGCGCTAATGTGATTGTATGTTTGCTAAATTAAAATCTAATTCCTTGTAGTCCACATCGAGTTCCTTGTATCACTTTCGAGTTCAAGCTCTTTATTATTCAATTTGAGTTCAAAGGAAATGCTCGATTGTTAATTGATTGAGCTTAGTTCAAGTTCAACTTGAGTCAAGTTTTTTGTTCTGCTATTCGCTTGAGCTTAAGTTCAAATTTTCTGAAGTCTTGTTCAATTCATGTTCAGATCGTCATCATTTGTCCAAGTTTGATTTGAGTTCAAATTTTACATGATTGTTCGAACCAAGTTATGCACAAATTTGTTTAAGTCCTTTATCATTTGAATTCATATATTTATATTTATGAGTTTGAGTCAAAAGTCCCCTGCTGTCCAAATAAAGTTCATAAGTCCCCTATAATGTTCATTGGAGTTCCAAATTAAGCCTCATGTTGTCTAAACAAAGTCCTCGGTGCACTGAAAATTTCAGCAGCCTCCCGGCGTCTCCCCCATTTAGGGGAAAAACTAAGAGGCAACCTTC